ATATACTATTTTTGGGACGCATAAACGTTCATGGGACGCATAAAAGTTCATGGGACGCATAAATGTTCATGGGACGCATGTCCTAAGATAGAGCCAAAATTTGTAAATTAAATTTTAAATTAAATTGAATTCCTCGACTTCACTAAATTTGTCAATGGCTATATTATGTCAATGGGTCTTTTGCCATTAAAAAATGGTCGGCCGAGCCATCTTTTGTACGCACACGCAATGATTTATCTGTTACTCATATAGATAAAACCAATTTATCCCGAAATCAAAAACAACAAATTTATTTAAAGAACGATTTCCTTGTCATAAATCAATTAAACGTTAAACTTCAAAGATTTTTGTCGTTATACTTTCCTCAAAATATTTATGTTTGAAATCAATCAACATCAGAATCTTCATAAAATTCTTTAAGAACAAAATGTTTTGTAATGTCATAACAAAAAGGCTTAAGTTCCAAATTATTTCCAAAATTTGCTTCTACCGAACAGCATCTTAACAAAACAATCGGCAAATAAGTGTCAAAATTTTCTTTCAATAATAATGCTTTGCCTTAAAAATTAAAAATCTTTTTGTCTAAATTTCTAACCAACAGAGGTCCGTCGGAATACCGATTTTCGAAATTTTGGAAAGATTTTCAATTTCCGAGAATTTTTATAATTTTATCATATCTAAATAAAAATATCCGGCTCTGGATCTCAACTCTGGAGCTGAGGCTTTGGAGCTCTATTTAAATAGTGTTAGAGGTGGAGCAAAACATAGATTAAGTTGATTTGTGGATATTGGGTCATAGGGAGGACAACATCTCTTCTAATCAATTTTTGTTACAATACAACTTTACCATAACTCTTAATATCCCTACAAATCCAATAATGCAAAATATCTAACCAATTTGTTTCCCATTTTGAGTATAGAACATATAAGGCAACTTTTCAGACTTTGTAGGTGGCGGATAAACTAATCCACAACCAAAAATATCTTCATTATTCCAAGAAAAATCATCAAGTTTAAAGAATTCATCTTTTTCGTTATTAATTGTTCCGTCCTCTGCATTCAAACTAATCGAATTCTTATTACTATTTTTAAGACAAATATTTATCCAGTTGTTATAACCATTTTTCTCTCCTTCAATTTTAACTTTAATTTCAAAATAAAATAAGGAATAATTTGAGCATTCTTCTTCTGGTATTTCAAAATAATTTTCAGCATAAACACCAGTGATTTTATTAAAACCTAAAATATTTAAGGTTTTAATAAGATAAATCAAAATTTGAAAAAAATCCCGAACAGCCTTTTTTTGTGTGGGGGGGGGGTGAGGGGCAAAACTCAGTAAGTACCTTCAAAACACCAAATTGACCCAACCTATTGAAAATACATATTTTTCTCATTGAACCATATTTGTCTGCACTTGATTTACCCTGACACAATTTTTCGGCACTACTTTCTGATGCACTGACATTTTGAATAAAATCATGAAATCCAGCCTGATCATAGTCCAAAAAATCAGGGTTTTCGCGAATTAGGGGGTTATTTCTTCAACTTTTTATCGCTAAAAATGGTATATAAACTACCAAATTGCAATAGACCATAGTTTAAAAATCAACAAAAAATAATTCACCTTTCCCCTCCTCACAATTAATATATTTAATTGTCTCATCACCCATTAATATTACAAATCCATTCCCTTTAATACATTTTGTATTTGTTGTGTCTACTCCATCCAAACATTTATTAACACAACAAGAATCATTATTAGCCTCAACCCATTTATTTTTGATATTCACAAAACACTTTAAATATTTAAATATAAATACTATTTAATTAAATTCTAACCGCTCGTTTACAATTTTTAGTTAATTGTTCCAATTTATTTGTTAATTCTCCCATCTTTTTTTCATGAAGAACTTGCATCTTTAATTTAAATTTTAAAAACATTTTTATGATAAGAGGATTTTCACCTCATCCATTTGTTTCTCAAGAAAATTATTTTTCTCTCCAAGTTTGGCATTCTTTTTTTTCTCCTCATTAAATTCAATTAACAGATTGTCAAGTTGTGATTGAATATCAAAATCATTATTGTTTACAATTTGCTATAAATAATTAAATAAAATTTTATTTTTCTTCTCCTTTCTTGGATTGCCCGATGTTTTTTGGAATCGCGAATTAAATTTCATTAGGAATTCCAGTTCCCAATTCCCGAACTTTTTTCATTCGGGAATCTAAAAAAACGAACGGTAATTCCAAGGCTGATCCCCCACTTTTTTCCTTTCTATTTTTTTTGATTTTTTAAATTTTTTATCGCAAATTATATATCATTCGAAAGAGCTCTTCAAGTTGAGTCGAACGTTACTAAATTCATCGAAATCCGACTTAAATAAACATAGTTATGACCATTTGTTTTAATCCCTTTCAACATCACAAAAAGCATGTCCATCGATGATTTAGCTTCATAATTCTGCTCAGAATCTCCAAATCGAATCGATCATAGTATCAGTCTACTCGGCACGAACAGCTCTTTCGAATGATATATAGTAAATTATATGTCAAGCAAAAAAGCTCAAAATGGTCAGGCGAACAGAAAAAAAGTGGGGGGGGGGGGCAGCCTTGAAATTACCAAACGAACTGGTACTCATCGCCAGTCTTTAACAGTATATGCTACTTTGATCCAGGTGTACTTTTACGAATAAAATAAAAATGAGAAAAATAAAACGAGGGGAATAACACAGTATAAAATTTAATTTCCGTTACCAATAAATCAAATTCAGAATTTGTAGATATTTCAGACATTTTTTAAAACTAAAATCTAAAATTTAAATTTTGAGGTGTAATTAAAAAAAAGTCGAAACATGTAAAAATTTTTTATTTATTAGCTCGGGATTTTAATAATAAGTCTGAGGTTTATCTGAGAATTTCTTGCATATACTCTTTAGTAAAAGAATTGAGAATATGATCAGATAAACCGACAAATTTCCAATAAATTTGAGTCGGTCAAAATCGGTTTTTAACCGATATCTCTTTTGGTTTACGGTTTTTAAATTTTGTTTTTAATTTGGTTAATCGAGCCTAACTAATCATCATAGCTAAAATCATTTAATTTTTAATTACAATTGAGAAAAATATATGCACTACTACATATGTAGATCAAATTTATTAAAAAAATATTAATTAAAAATAAAATATTCAGATTATGTGTGTAAAAATTTATTTAATAAATATATATAGAAGTAAGGCTAGAGGAGAACCATGGGCGGGAAATGTAAGTTTTGTTCAGAAAATATTTAGGTATTTAATGAGAAAATGTTCTGGAGGAATATTTTGAATATTTAAAATTTCTATGTATGGATTAGAGAAATATTGGGAGGGAATATTTTGAATGTATTGGAGAGAATATTGGGAGGAAAAATTGAGAGAATATCGGCAAGGAATAATCAGCACCATTATTTAAAAGTTAGCTTCAATAACGTAACAAACTTTAATCTGATCAACTTGTTAAATTGACCATTCGAGAGGTAGATTCCGGGATTCTTAATTGGTCAATATGGTCTGTTCGATTGAAAATGATGGATTTAATTATTGTCCAATTGATCAGACTCATGGTTAATCATCCTTGATTGCGCAACTTTCCCCTGTATAATAAAATTTAAGCAATTATAATATCAACTAGGGTTCAGCGGTATCGGGATCCCGACCGGTATCGGGCGGTATTATACCGGTCTCTTTGAATACCGATACCGATTTTACTGATACCGCTACCGAATGATAAATCCCGATACCGTTTTTGCTGATACCGATACCGAGGCCGGTATCGGTACCGGTATCATTAACTCAAATCCCGATACTGATTTAGGCTAATCCCGATCCCGAGTCGGTACCGGTATCGGGATCGGTATCATCAATTCGAAATACGATACCGTTTTTTTCTCGGAATACCGGTACCGCTGAACCCTAATATCAACTAGTAATATCGAATAACAGTACATAACGACTGACAAGAATTTATCTTTGTAGAGATCGATCACTTTCTCGTTGTTGATTGAACAAATTGACCAGATTGATATTTACTTCATTCTTGAATCAATTCCCCATTTTGGGTGCGATATTTAGGATCATAACCCTAAATATCTGACCTCTTTAATCCCTCCTTAATTTTTGAACAAATTAGCAGAAATTGTGCAAAGATGAATTATTTTTGGAGCATTTTCCCTTTTTAAAACCCCGACCCGAACCCCGACTATATTTTGCTTGCTGCCCCGAAATATTTCGAAAACTCCATACCCCGACAAATCCGCTTCACCCTAATTTATTTACTATTTTAAATAGGTAGATTGTATTAAATACTATTACTGTAATTTCTCGAATAATTCTCCACTCTCGAATAACCCCCTAGGTAATAGTTTGGAATTCGCCCCCCTTTTTTTTCCTTTCTATTTTTTCTAAGTTTTTTTTTTCATTTTATGGCAAATTATATATCATTCGAAAGAGCTCTTCAAGCTGAGTCGAATGACGTTAAGATCAACGAAATCCGACTTAAGTAAACAATGTTGTGACCGTTTATTTTATCCCTTTCATTGACACAAAAAGTTTGCCCAAACTAGGATTTGGCTTCATAATTTTGGTAAGATTGATCAGATTTGGCCAATCATGGTATCATTCGACCACGCTCGAAGAGCTCTTTCGAACGATATATGATAAATTATGTATCAAACAAAAAAGCTCAAAATGGTCAGGGAAACAGTGAAAAAAAGGGGGGGCGAATTCCAAACTATTACCACTCCCTATGCCAGGGATGGGTTGAAACAAAATTCCACTCCTAAGTGTTAATTTAACGTCTAAATTTCAAAGCTCGAACTTTTATTCAAAGCCAATATTAAAAAAACAAAATAATTTTTATGAGTTAATCCAAATAAAATTAGATAACGAGTAAAGCTTTATGTATCAGTTTTCATTAATCATTAATCATTCATCAAAATTTCGTTAACTTTCAAAACAAAATGTCAATAAAATTCTTTAAGCACATAATGTTTGGAAATATCATAACAGAAAGGTGTAGTCTCCAAATCATTTCCAAAGTTAGTTTCAGCAGAGCAACATTTAAGGTGGACATACGGGTTATACGAATTTATATTGTCATTTAATAATATTGCTTTACCTTAAAAAATATTTAAATACATAAATTCTCAATCTTTCTATTTACCAATTAATTTTCCATTTTGAGTAAAGAAAGCATAAGGCATTCTATTTTTCTTATTTGGTGGATAAACCACTCCACACCCAAAAATATCCCCATCATTCCAAGGAAACGTTGAAAAGTTAAATTCTTGAAAACAATTCTTTATCTTAACTTCCCTTGCATTATATCTAATATAACTTTTTGCAACACAATTTGCAAGTCCAATAACTAGTAAATTATTTTCTCCCTCAATTTTACATTTAATTTCAAAATAAAATAAAGAATAATTTGTAGAATATTTTGGCTTCTCAAAAGAATTTTCAGCATATATAGCAGCTATTTTATCAACTAAAATATTTAAATATATTTTAAATTAAAATTTTATTTAATACCTTTCCCTCTAAAATATTTAATATTTCCATCATTAATTAAATTAACAAATCCGTTTCCTTCCATACAATAGCCATTTGGATTGTTTGTATTTATACAGTTATTTTGACAACAATTATAATTGTAATTATTAACAATGGCAATATATTTCCATTTATTTTTATTTTGAACAAAAAACTGTTAAAATAATTATTTAAATTCCTTTAATTAAACCAACCGCTTTTTTACAATTTAATTTATTTAATTTTTCCAAATCACCAATCTTGTTCTCTAACGAAGTAAACTTCTTTAAATTAAATTACAAGTCAATCCAAGTTATATAATGGCTATGAGCGCTCCCGCATCCTTTTCTAACCAGCTTATCTCTATTTGAGGAATACTCTCCTGGTCCCCTAGGAACGCTTACATATATGTATAACGGGATTGACCAGGACCAATAACCAATAAATATCCCCTGGCCCACTAAATTATAGTCCTATCCTTCATATATCACGTTAATTCTTCGGTTTAGACCCCCTCTCCTACCATTTCTTTCCTTCCTTTTTACATGTAATTCGACCCAGCTGTCGAGTTGGGTCAAATGATACCAATCTCGGTAAGATTTAATAAAATTATGAAGCTGGATCAAAGCTGGGAAAGCTTTTTGTGGTGCTAAAAGGGGTTAATCAAGTGATTATAACTTTGCTCATTTAAATCAGATCTCATACTTGTCTAATAAATATTATAAAGCCTACAATATTTATTTTATTTTCGAGAGACAAGTATTTCTCTTCAAGCAAAATATATTTATTTTTTAATTCATTAAGCTCAAATTGAAGATTATCTGAATTATTTTCGATTTTTGTATCATCATTGTTATGCTGAAAATTAATATAAAATTATTATTTTTAAATATTTGGTAATATACAATTAATTCAAAATCCAAAATTAAAGATTCTTTCTCTGTCATCGTAGAATGAATTCAAATTTATTTAAAAAATCTCAACAAAATCTAAACTTAAAAATTATATTTTTTAAATGATCACATAAATGAAAAATAAATTAAAAAATAAAAGTTCCGAGGAAAAAAGGATTATTTTGAATATTTATTTTAAATATAAAATGGGAAAATGTTGTGAGGAAATACATATTTTGTTACACAAAACAATCATAGATCGGAAAGATGAAAAAATTAAATTTGAATCAGATAAATTGTTTGAAGTTGAAAATATTTGAAATTATATTGAAATTAACTTCAATATATTTGAAATTGACTTTGGTTTTTCTGTTCAGTTTGAGACCGACAACCCTACAATTGACCGCCCAGCTGCTATAAGGGAGAATGAAAAAATAAGGGTATATCTTCCAATTTTCTATTACTAGTTAAATTTTGCCTCGTACTCGTACCAAAGTACGAGTATGACTTTTTGTACTTATAAGCTTTTAAACACTGACATAAGGTATTAATAACACTGGGATGGATGCAAATAGCCAACCTTGTTCATTTAAAAAAACCAAAGTATTATCAAAACTTCTAAAATACAAAATAAAAGTTAAGTCATCGCCCATTTTTTTCAAACTTTTATTCTTCCGACTTCTATTATCATATTTACATAATAATTTTTAATTGAATAAACCTAAAAAATCTAAATTCAAATTATGAATTAAATAATTTTATTGCCCCTCATAATTTTCCCTCATTCATTAATGTCTTCAGTATGTTGTTTTACGGGGCAGTTTGATTAGAATGGTTAAGTAAAAATTCTTATAAATTAATGTTATATTCTCAGACTTTTTTCAAATTAATTTCTTCTTTATGCTAAAGCCCCATAAACTATCTACCGATCAAGATCTACAAATAATGGCTAGATCATTCGACGCATCTCAGGGAGCTGATTGATTTTTTAACTTTAATTTTTTTGAAATGCTGCCCCAGCAATTCCTGTTTTTTTATTTGCGAAATTTTATACATCAAACTACATATAGGACGAAATATTTTTTGTTATTTCGACTAGAGATTGCCAGTTCGGAACCGAAGAACCGAACTTTTTTCAGTTAGGTTTTCGGTTCGTATCCGCATATCCGAAGATTTTCCAGAAAAGACATTGAGCTCAAATTTGAGACCCTCTACATATGGGTGTATTTTTTTTTTAATTTTTCAACTTTATAATAAAATTTAATTTCATATACACATTTAAGTTAATATTATTTTTATTAATCAAATGTCCAGTAAAAACTCAAAATTTTCCTGGAAACAATGTATCGAAGATGAAAGATGTAAAGTATTTCCATGCATAAAAGGTCTTTAAAATTAATTATTTATCTAACTTTGATTAATTAGGACTCAAAAATTATGGAAATACTGATTACTTTAATGCTTTAATGCAGTGCCTTGCTGGCTGTGACCGCTTTGCTGAATTTCTTCTTTGTTATGATTTTGTGGAATATGAAGAGGTGAAAGAAATTTTTGGGAACAAAAGCTATTGAGAAAGTGACAATAGCACCGAAGTTATATACTTTTTTGGAAACTGGGAATTACATATAAAAAATTTTTGTTCAAAATTTTGAATTGAAATTGACGGACATTTTTTTCCGATCTCTAGATTTAACTCCGTCACTAAAAAATTAGAGTTTGGATTTATTTTTTCGAATTTTAATAATTTATTACACGAAACATCTATTTTTATGCATTCTATAATATTGGCTGGGCTCTTAGGTCAGAATCTGTTATGTTCAAGAAGCATACTTCTAAGTCGACTGGCACAAAAATAACGTTTAACGTTTTTTTTAATTTTAAGAATATTATTTTCAACTCATTTGTTAATACAATTCGTTGTATGTGGCTTAATGATCCTTCTGTTGACACTTATTTCCATAAAACTATTAGTTCTCTTGCAAATGAAAATTCACCATTTTGTCTCAGCTCGCAAAAAGTATGTAAATGAATTAAATTTTTTAATTTCTTTACCTCGTGATCTGTGATATTATAATTGGAAAGGGATGATTTTCAGATAAATTTTTTAGACTTTTAAGGCATAATGATAAGGAATTCACCTAAAAATATCAAGACCCATTGTTTTTGATTAAAGCCATCTCATTTGAATCGTGGATGGCTATCAGGGTTGATCTGAGTTGATCAATGATAAATTACCAATTATTTTAATTTTTTCAAATAGGATCCTCATGAATGTATGATTTGGTTATTAAACAAACTTAATCGAGAGTTTTTGAATTCTTTGGAGAGATTTTTTATGTTGGAGAATAATTACTTAAGCATTGGGAATAAGTATTTATATTCAATGTACGAGAGCAGCAAAAAAGATAAAAAATCTAATATTTTAAAATTATTTCAGTAAGTTTTGTAAAAAATATTCTTTATTTTTGTTTGCTACATACACTCATGGTCAAAAGTATTGCCCCAAACTGTTGGAAAAGTTTCCACCCTGAAAACCAACTAGTTTTATTTATTATCCCATATCTTTTTAAATTTTTGTAATTAAAGAAACTCTTTGTACTTATTCTAAAGTTAAATAATAAAGGATTATTTTGGGAAAACAAATTCTAAATTATTTTAAAATGAGGCAAGATAATTGTTTCTGGGACCTCTATCCCGATTTCTGGGACCTACCCTCAGTTGTAGTTCTTTGATCCTGCTTTTTAATTATTTATAAAATTAAGAATTATAAATAAAGACTCTATAATTTTACTTAATTTAAATTTTATTTTCAGAGGCCAAATTCAAAAGAAAATTAAATGTACAGCTCCTAATTGTGGTTTTGTTGATATTTCAAATGAAAATTTTCTTTCTGTTCCACTCAAAATTCCTCTGTAAATTTATATACGTAAATTTATCATAAATTTCAGGCCACATAGAGTTACCGTAAAATTTATCAATATGAATCCAGCACGCAAAATCACTCGTTTTCATTTTGACATTTCTGAACCTAATGTAAAAATTACAGATATAATGGAGCAAATAGACAAAACTGTGAACATCTCGACAGAAAATGTTGATATTTTATAAAAATTAAAAATAGGCTAATAATTAAAAAATACTAAAATGATTCCCTATTATCTTTCCTCTAATCTTTTTTAAAAACAGTATATTAGTTGAAGCGATTTTGGGAGATTTAGAGGGATATAGTGATTGGTGAAGGAACGATATCATGGGACTGATATCCCCTAATCCCTCAAACCTCTTAATCCCACCAATCTGCTTATATCCGCGTTATTCCTCCAAGTCCCTGAGAAATTAACTATCTAATCTCTTTTAATCCCCACGATATCTTTGTTAATCTCCAGTATCTTCTTGAGGCTGTGAAAAACGCAATGCCAAAAGCAATAAAAATTTTATTAGGAGAACAATTTAGAGGGATGGGGTCTATTTTAGGGGAGAGGGATATTCTATAGGAAATACAATATTTTGCCTTTTTTTATATTTTATCGGGGCAATTAATATTTCAATTGGATCAAATTTATTATTTTAGATGGTTGCTTGTAAAATTAAACCAAATGCACAATTATATTTAGTTCCAGAAATTAATTCAGTTCTTGAAGATAAAAATAATTTAAATAATCTTACAATTCTTCAAATACCTGGTGAAATTAATGAACAACTTTTAGAAAATAATTTAATTATTGCGGTTGTTTATTTTGTGTTTGGAAGTGTTCAAAATAGAGAAATGTAAATTAAAAAAGATTTTTTAAATACTTTTGAAAAATTTTTTAAAGTTTTGGCGAGCCTTACATTACAATTTTGAATAGAGATTTAGGTTCAGGTCATTTAAGTTTTGAAATAATGAAGGAAGGAGCTTTTCTTCTTCCAAAACTTTTCTACAAAATGAATGCTGGTTTTACACTTTATTTACAAAATTCTGATGGATCTTTTTCTAGAATTGACCCTATAATTGAAAAACCTCTTTTTAATGAATATGTTAACAAGTAAACTATTTTTAAGATTTAAACAATAAAAAGAACTAAAAGTATCCGTTATACACCCACAAACTGGGTGCCAGCCGAACTTTTTAATGCTTAATCCAGTACAAATGATCATTCGTAAGCCCTTGATAAGCTGTATCATTTTCATAATACGTTAGATCAAGTTTGATCACTAATTAAAACGATATAGCCCGATAAGTCCAGTTATTTGATGTTTTCACATCTACTTTTTAATCAGTGATCAGACCCGATTCAACGAGTTAGCAAGAAGATAGCGCATATCAAGGGCTTTCGAATGATATAAAATTCATTTGTAATTAATCAAGCTTCAAAAATTTATAGAATATCAGTCAAGTGGCACTCAGTTTGTGGATGTATAAAAGATAAATAACTAATTTAATTAATTTCCAGTATTTTAAACGAAAAAGAAAATAATAAAAAAGTAATTCAAATAATTGTTGAATGGGATTTGTCCTTAAAAGAAGAATTTAAATCTAAGCTTGTGAAAGAACAAATTATTGAAAATTATTCATATATTAAGATTTTTAATTATGTTTCAAAACCTGTTCCTTTAATTACATTGATTGACAATTTTGTTAAATCTGGTATAATTTTATTTAAAAAATTATATAAATTTTATTTTATTAATAGAACCAATGAAACTTTGGAACTGTCCAAAATGTAAGAAACCTTCTGGATCAATTCAAATTGAATTTGATCAGTTACCTGATATTCTTGTCTTTTATATAAATCGTTTTGAAAAGGTACTAAATATTTTATTTAGTGTGTGAAATTAATTTAAAAAAGACTTTCGGGGCTAGGAAATTTTAGGTTCGGGGTAGACAAGGTCGTGAGCAGGCCTATATATCACGAGGCATTGGCTTGTGGTATACAGCCAAATCTCTGGCATGGTTCGATGTGCCTTGACAGGTTGTGGCTTTGTGGTACATTGGCCTCGATGTACATCAAAAAATATCTCTAAAACAAGCCCACATGTTATTTCCGAAAAGGGTCAATAATGAGTTTTTTCAAATGGCTATCCGACATTTGAGGATCAGACTTTTGGGGACCCGACAGTTGGGGACGACTTTTGGGGATACGACTTTTGGGGACCCGACACTTAGGGACCCGACTTTTAGGGACCCGACACTTAGGGACCCGACTATTGGGGATCCGACATATGGGGACGAAATAAATTTTTAAAAAAATTTGAAAATTTACCTAAAGCAGGTCTTTAATACATAGTCGGATATGGATAAAACATGGTCATTGACTCAGCTCGATGTCTGAGTCGAATGACGGTGAAAACCAAGTGCGGGAGTCAAATGTCAAGGGAGTCAAGCACGGGAGTTAACGATCAAGCGCGGGCTGTTGACTCCCGCGCTTGATCGTTAACTCCCGCGCTTGGTTTTAACCGTCATTCGACTCAGACATCGAGCTGAGTCAATGAGCATGTGTTGTTCATATCCGACCATGCATTATAAACTTGCTTTAGGAAGATTTTCAAAATTTTTAAAAATTCTATTTCGTCCCCAAATGTCGGGTCCCCAATTGTCGGGTCCCTAAGTGTCGGGTCCCTAAAAGTCGGGTCCCTAAGTGTCGGGTCCCCAAAAGTCGGGTCCCTAAGTGTCGGGTCCCCAAAAGTCGTCCCCAACTGTCGCCCCAAAAGTCTGATCCCCAAATGTCGCGCCACGTTTTCAAATTTATTTTAAATATTTTAGACAATAAAAAATGTTAAAAGTGTACAAATTCCGCAAGATTTGCTTGATATGAAATCTTATATTGATAATGGAGAATCTGAAAATAATAAATACGACTTGTCTTGTGTTTTGTTCGATAGCTTTGGTCAGTTTCATTACATTTAATATATTTGGACCAGAAATGGGCTGTCGTAATGCTTTCCCATTTAAAAAAGTTAAAATTTGACGGATCAAGATTCACCGGGAAATTACTAGTTAAGGTCGGAATTTAGTGCCATACCGTACAATTCCATAAAATACCGGCACCTATTTTTCTTTTTCGATCCCTTTGTTCCTAGAAGATTTGGAATAAAATTGAAGTAAGGAGTCGATTTTAAATATATAAACAATTTAAAGGTCACTACACAGCAGCTACTCGTAATTTTGTTGATGGCCATTGGCGTTTATTTAATAATACGCTAGTTCAAGAACTTTTCTTTAACAACTCTCAAAAAGAAATTTTCGAATCGGCTAATTCTTCATTGTTTTTCTATCAGCGCCAACATTCTAAGACTGCTCGTTGGTTTCCCCAGGATGTTCCAAAACAAATTTTTGGAAAATATCAAGGAAAAATAGATAATAATATGATTGCTCTTGACAGCTTAAAAATTTGCTAAATATTTTTAAAATTAATTTTTTTTACTTTTTAAATGAATAAAGGCAAAAATTTCTAAAATAGTAATATCTTGTAAGATTTATTTTTAATAGGAGATATCTCGTAAGCAGTTCCATTACACCAGTGGCCGAACAAATTTAGAAAAACGTATCACAACCAGTGATGTCAAAGTTCCAGTTCCAGTTCCGGAACTAATTAGTTCTAGTTCCAGTTCCGGAACTAGAACTACGGAACTAACGATTATCTGGAACTAGTTTGGAACTAGAACTACGGAACTAGTAAATGTCTGGAACTAGCTTGGAACTGGAACTACGGAACTAATAAATGTCTGGAACTAGCTTTGGAACTAGTTCTGGAACTAGTTCTTGGGGGTATATTTTTGGCAAAATTTCCTCGAAAATTACCTGCAGCGCGCTGAGTATGGAAGAAATCTGGCCGCTTGAGCTCAAAAATTCTCAAAATTTTCGCCTGCGGCGCTAAAAAAGGAAGAAATCTAGTGAATTGGCCTTCCGAAATTCTCAAAATTTTTGTATGCGGCGCAGAAAATGGAATAATTATGGGGAGATCTAAAGATTTTGAGAGATACCTCCAAATCCTACGTAATCCCACGGTAGCATTATCTTTTTACATATTTCCTAATCTCGGTATCTTTCCAGACTGCATGGTCCACATCATGGATAAGGAGGATAATAAGAGGAAACGGAGATTTGGGCGGATAAGGAGAGATTTGAAAAAAGATAAAGAGTGATATCAAGGCTCAAGAGTTGTAAGTTGTATATCAGGTTACTTTTTTTAACTTTTTGTAGTTACTTTCTTGTCACCCTGTATACTACAGACATATTTTCATATTCAAAAAAAATTAAAAATTTGGAACTAGAACTAGCTTGGAACTAGTTCCAGAACTGGAACTGGAACTAAGGAATTTCAAAAATGGAGTTCCGGAACTGGAACTGGAACTACGAAAATTAAAAACCTGGTTCCGGAACTGGAACTGGAACTACAAAAATTAAAAACCTAGTTCTGGAACTGGAACTAGTTCCAGAGAAATTTTGGAACTTTGACATCACTGATCACAACTCATAAGTAGTGGTGCCAGAAAGATATGGACATAAAATATGGATATCAATTCCCTATCAATCTATTGACAAAAACATTAAAAATACAAAGTTAATTATTTTTATCTACATATTAAATACTTCTTTATATCCATCCTTTAAATGACTATGAGAAAAAATATATTGCGTAGCAAGTGTTGTCGTCGAACCATCCTTTGTCACGTAAATTATGGTAAGCAATATTATCAATAAATGGAAGTTCAGTTTCTTCTTGATATGATTTTGTTATTGAATAGGATTTACAAGCAACTGAGCAAAATGTTTTATGACGAATAATTGATGCTGTTTTAATTGAAAATTGATCAACTAAAGATTGTTGTTTGATTTGAATTCTTCAAGTAATTCTTTCAATCCAAGATGATATTTTTTTCTAAAATAAACTAATCTTATAAATCTTGTAGTTTATCAACGCATTTTCAGTTTTTTATTTTTAATAATTCGATCGACTACATATTACTTTTTTATGATTAATCTAATCCGAATAAATTTTATCATTCAAAAGCCCTCGATAAGCTCTCTTTTCCAACTGGATGGATCAAGTCTGATTGCTTATTAAAGAGTCACAAGTCGATAAATACAAGAAATCGTTGTTTTTCACACGTAAGACCTGTATCTTTTTATTAGGTAATCGGACCTGATACTTCAAGTCGAAAAAAGATAGCGTTAATCGAAAGATTTTGAATGATATAAGAATCATTCGGATAAGATCAATCATAAAAAAGTTACCTAATATTGATCTCACCTAGTATTGAGAGGGATACTGATGTCAGAATCGAAAACTAGTTTAATCATTTAATAATTTTTATATCTACATACATATTAGCACTAATTTAATGCAACTAATAATTACTTAAAATTTATTGAACCTACTTTAAGACATCCAGAATTCTAGGTTTAAGTTCTCCAACTCTTATTTTAAGCGATTTGGCAATAAAAGCGTTATTTTTGTTAAATCTTGTTATAACAACATTCACACCACGTTGATTTAATACAAGATCACACCAATATTCAGGACATATATTTATTCCATTATATTGTTTTATTGCTTCTTCAGATGGGTAAATTAAAAGCTGCTTTTCAATTCTAAATTACAAAATTATTTTGAAAATTAATTTAAAAATATAAACTTTATATCCCCAATATGTTTTAAATTTTCGTATATTAAACTAAGCAGATTATTATATTGAAGATGAGAAATATCTCCGCTTCCATCGAATTTATTTATCGTATCGGAAATTATTAACTTTTCAATCGGTCCAGACATGTTCTAAATTTTTTATTAAGAAATTAAATTTAAGAAAATTATGCTAGAGTAACTATATTTTAAAGACATTTACTCTAGTTTTACGTTAATTTTCTGGGTTTCAAATCTCGATGAAGGAGGGAACTATACTAAAACTTCGTTTCTTTTGTATATTATATTGATATAAGTTGATACTATTAATATAAGTAGATAAAATTTATTCGTTAAAAGGTGTTCTTAAATTTTCTGTTTTGAAACTTATGTGGGAGTTGAAAAGTGAAATCACATCTCAACTATAACCATAATATTAACTGTGATTTTCGAAGGTTTAAAATTACCAATTTTGTAGGGATGTAGTTGGCCATAAACTGGGAAGTTCTGCTTACATCATTGCCTACATTAATTAAGAATTCATGATATTGTGTTAAATTAGAAGGAAACATAAATTTCCCACAGATGATGGTTGAAATAAGCTATTAAATAAAATTATTTAATAGAGTAATGCTCCAGAGCTTGGCTATAGCTATTTCTCTCCTTAATGCCGTGCTTACATAAAAAGCGTATTGCGTTTTGCGGCAAAAATAGCATTCAAAGAAGGAGAGACAAAATCGCGTCTCATTCCGAATGCTATTTTGCCGCAAAACGCAAGACTTTTAAGTAAACACGGCATAAGCTAGAGCAAAAGTATTTTTTCGGCGGCTGGATGCGAACCAGCATCTTCAGAAGACAGGAATGATGTGTTATCGTGTTATCTATTACACCACGACGGCTACTGCACGGCTTTAGGAATTAAATAGCTATGCTTTACAATATATAAAATTATTATTTTAATTATTATTACCAGTCTTGAAAGCTCGGTTTGAACTAGAGCTTCGAATAATGAAATTTTAATTCGATTATATTTGTTTCCGTTTATAACAGCATCTGTTAAACACCTAAATAATATTACATTTGTTTTAAAATAACTTTCATCGTCGAGTACCGATTATTTGGAAAAAAGACAAAAACAAAAAGCCAGAAATCTTGCTTTTTCTGCACCGAAGGCAAGAATTTCAAACTTTTTCAGAAATTTGAAAATCAAAAATCGAAAGAAAACCCCTCGAAAATCGAAACAGCCCTAGTAGGATTTGGTAATTTTTTATCAATAGATTTATTTTTATAATGTGTTTGTTCATTTTTTTCGCATCTGGCCTATATTAGTCAAATTCAACTCGCTATAACGAACTTCAGTAAATTGTCCGTTTAAAGAGGAAATTTTGAAATAATTTTGGCAGGCATAAAGCTAACATGTCAAAAATAAGTTATAGGAGAGAGATTTCACTTTTGTGAATGAAACCATCTTAACATTTAATTAAACTGGAAAGTTTTCGACGACTTATTATAAAAATAAAATTACCTATTTGAAGGATCTGGTAATTTTTTAAGTCTTGTCAATTTATGTATATGTTCAATTGCTGATTCGAAAGTTTCAAAATCTAGATAAAAACGATAGATTTTTTAGTTTTTATTAGATTATCGCAAGCTAAAATTGTTTTTTTATTTTAAAAACTTCGTAAAAACAGTTTGTAAGAACAGTTAACTTTGTAAAAAGACTCTCCTCATAGATTTTGTGGTACTAAAATGCAGAACCGGGTACTTAAAAATGTTAAAGGACGCATAAAAATGCTATTGGATGCTAAAAACTTTTTAGGACGCATAATCCTTTGATTGAGCACGTAAAAGTTGATTAGATGCGTAATCTGGACAATAGCCTTTTTCTTTTGATTATTTATTATCTAAATAAAAATCACAATAGTAAATAAAACTTGCCATTTATAGATTGTTCAATATCTTCAAATATTTGAAAAGCTTTATAAGCGGGCATTGAGTAAATATTAGTAAGGATTCCTTAAAAATTATCAAGTTATTTTTAATTGTTAAAAAAATTCAAAAAATTATTTTACAGAAATTTTTTAAAATCCAAACAAATTTTTGTTTCAAAATTCAAAAATAAATTATCAGAAAATTTACTAAAAATAAATTCAAAAAACACTTAGAAAATATGATTAAATTTACTTTTTTTAAGCTTCTTTTCATGGGCATCCCATACTTTAATTTTAAAACGACCCTCTCGATTTATAAAAATTTTTGTTATTTTTTCATATAATTTAGTGTTGTCGAAGGAGCATCCAAATGTTATACGCTTTCTCATATACTAAAATATTTATCAAATTAGGTACGTAGTAGGGTCGGGCAAGGTTCCTCCTAGCCTAGCATCAGAGAGCTCTATAATGATTAAATCCAATCCACTCTTTTGTTATTTTCTGGAAGGAGTATATCCTCTTTAATGTATATTAAAAAATCTCCTTATTATATACATATAACAGAGAGACAAATTTTAAAAAGCTTATTATCCTTTCTAGATTGGATATTTCATATAATTTTAAGGATCAAATAATCCAATTTTGTCAAAAGTACTTATAACTTAAATAAACCTCAGCCATTTCCTCGATCCCATTAGTATTATTATTGCTTCATTAGTCTTAACAATTGTAGGGTCTGTGAAGTATGGGATTCTTCTGGTAAGTACATTTAATTGAAGAGTTATAAACTTAAAAAATACATATAATTATTTATTAAAAATATCATAAATGGGTGCTTATCCGTTATACACTCACAAAATGATTCGTAGACGAATTTAATCGGCTATAACTTTTTGATGCTCTTGATCAAATACAAATGAATTTTATATCATTCGAAATAACTTTTTATGAGTGATCAGACCTGATCTAGCCAATTAGAAAATGATAACGCTTATCGAGAGCTTTCGAAATAATATAGGATTTATTTAAATTAGATCAAGCTCAAAAAAGTTATATTCTATAAGTACCAAAAGTTTTATGAAATATTTTTTTAATTGCTTGTCTAATAATCAAAATCCTTTTTACACTTTTATTAGTCTAATTTTAAAACCTACATTGTCAAACTTCCAAAATTCTAGATCCATTTCTTCAGCTTCGAACCTATAAGAAATTCTTTCATTAAGTCGATTTAACTGATAATTGAAATAAAAATTCATTTTTTTGAGCGCCTTATATTCATCAGAATCTGGCTAAATAATTTAAATAAATATTCGATTTAAATTTTCTCCTTATTTATTCTTCTAGTTTAGGGGATTTTTCGTAATAGTAGCGTTTTCCCCATTTCCCATTTTCCCTTCCTTAAGACTCTTAATATTTTCGGACCTTGCGGAGCGAGAATACCAAGAAATGTTTCTAAAATATTGAGGCCATGAAAAATGCAAATTTTTTATGTTAAACTCTTCTGAGTTTGTCAATGTCGGTATATAACAGTAACCTTAGTTTCTATTAAATAATTCTCATTAAAATCAGTTTTTTGTACCCCCTTAATATAAGAAATGCTATCCAAATTAATTTAGAAAATTAATAATATTTAACTAAATGTTCACCTTTCCAGTAATATTTAATGAGGCGTTTAAAAATTCCCCGAAAGGGATTGCCAATTTTAAGAATTCTGCGCTTGTATCCTTTATTAATTTAAATTTTTCAGAGTAATCATCACTAGTTTCGACCATTTTATCGAATTTATTTATAATTTCTTCTACTAACTCTTGAGCTAAAATAATTGTTAATTTAAATTAAAGCAAATTTTACGTCTTTTTTCTAATTTTATTTCATTTTCATCAATATAATTAGATTTAATGGCAATTAAACTATTTAATTTGTTTAGTAGGAATATAATTAAAATTAAAAAATATTTCATTTTTACTTTTAATTAGAAAATATAAAAAAAAATTAAAATTAATTTTATTTCAGTTGCTATAACAACAGGGATGCCATTGTTATAGAGAGATGCCATATTGCATGAGGGGCCAAAACAAGGATTGCCTTGATTAATGAAAAAATAATATGATATATTTTTAATTAATTATTGTAATTATGCCAAAGATGATTTAAAAATAAATTTATTAAACAAAGTAAATGTTCAGAAGGGTCCACTCACGTGTATTTTTTCGCCTGTGGCGCATAAATGGAAGAAATTCCTTTCAAGAACGATATCCGTCTTAATCTTTAGATATACTCTAGATCCTCTAATATCCACGATATCCCAGCAAAAACTCACGATATCCACCTTAATCCCCCAAAATCTAATACCCAAATCACCGTCTTAATCCCTCTAAATCACTTTATATCCACTTTATTCCACATATATCCACCTTAATCCTTTAAAATCTACTTAAATCCATCGATATTTCTCTTAATCCCCCTGTATTTTATTGAAAATCTAAAAACCCCAGCAAAACCAGCATTCTGGTTTTTCCTGGGCCTGGGTTCTTCCTGGACTACAGGCCCAGGATCCAGTGCAGGTCAATAAATCAAACTCCACAGTCCAGAAACAGGCCCAGGCTTTTCAAAATTTCCGATCTCTAATACTACATTGCATTACAACTAGTGTTCGGCACGGTACGGTATACCGCGGTATTTTTCACGGTATACCGCGGTATTTTTTTCCGGTATACCGATACCGATACCGTACCGGTCAAATTTTGAAAAAAACGGTATTTTTCGGTATCGGTATTTTTTCGGTATACCGATACCGAAACCGTACCGGTCCTCGAAAAAATACCGCGGTATTTTCCGGTATTTTGGTATTTGTGAAAATCTCAAAATTTTCGCCTGCGGCGCTGAAAACGGAAGAAATCTGTCTTCTGGTCTTCCAAAATTCTTAAAATTTTTGTCTGCGGCTCTGAAAAAGGATATATAGGGGCCTTCTATAGGGGCATTCTATTAGAGTGGGCTTTGTATTTTTCAATCATCCTTCTGGGGCATTCTATTAAAGGAGGGTATTCTAATAGAGGGGGCATTGTATTTTTCAATTAGCTAAATGTCGAGCAATTGTTGGACATTTTGCTCATTCAAATCTTGCCTATGATTGATTAGAAGAAGCTCAAGTCCTTGAGATTGTTAAGATTTATTGTTAAGATTTTAAAAATAAAATTTAAAAAATTTTATAAAATTTTTTAAAAAATACCGAATACCGGCCGGTATACCTAAAATGTTGAGACGGTTTTTTCCGGTATCGGTATTTTTCCGGTATACCGATACCGATACCGTACCGGTCAATTTTTGTAAAAAACGGTATTTTTCGGTATCGGTATTTTTTCGGTATACCGATACCGAATACCGGAAAAGGTCATTTGCCGAACACTAATTACAACAGTATTGTAGGTTCGTATGATTATAAAAATTTGTAAACCGATAACCTTAGGTTATCCAAAATATGCAAATGCATGTTTTGTATGCTGTCTAAAAGTCTCTCGTATATTCTCTCTCGTATATTCTCTCTCGTATATTTGCATATCGGTGCATATGTAAGCAGATCTTGCATATTTTCAAGCATATTTTTGGATATTTATTTGCGTATAGTTTAAAACTAAGTCTTAGTTTAAACTAAAAAACCCAGCTCTGTACACACAATTCGTACAAATTTATATAAAATAAGAACAAAAACATTTTCAAAATTATGTTCAAGCAAATTTTTAGTTGAATTCTCCTCAGGTTCTTCTAGTCGAATTTTAGTTGCTTTTTCTTTGATATTTGTCTCTATATTAATTTATATAATCTTTAAATGCCTCTTTTAAATTTAACTTAGAAGATTCTTCTAATTTAAATTCAATATTTAATTTATTCAAAAATTCAATAATTTCATTATAGTGTTTATATTCCTTTCGAATTCCTGGAAATACTAAAAGCTCGCGAGCTTTTAATATTGAATCAAACGAATGCTTTTTCAATTCAGCTGTTGACTTATATAAATCCTAAAATTTTTAGATTTTAATAATAAAATTAAAAAAGGTAATTAAAAGGAGGAAATTAAGGTGTAATGGTCACTAAGATAATGGTCACCACAACGAATCACTAAGATACGGGCCAGCCGCACTTTAAACAAACGAACATGAAACTTTTTAATTTTCTCGGGCACTCCTTTTGGTAGATCTTTTGAAATATTATTCTTATGATATTTATTTGTCAATTGATTGTGCAAAAATTTGCACAGCTCGGTAAATTGTTGATAATTAACCAAATATTTCATTGCTATTGGATGTAATATTTTAATTTTTTTTATTTGTTTAATCAATCCTTTCTGGTTTTCATCAGAAAAAACATGGTGTTCAAATAATTTATCTAAAATTTCTTCTTCGTCTGTTTGCTTATCCACTTGCTCTACCTTTATTTGTGAGGTTGAAGCTTCTTGGGTAATTTCGGAAGTTGAAGCTTTCTTGGTAGGTGTAGTACATATAAACGGCAGTTGGGAAAATAAAAATAATGGAATGGTTAATTTTGCAAATAAAAACATTTTGTGTTTAAAAATTCCTATAAATTTTAGAAAGATACATATAATTATATCTTCACTATAATATCAAGTTAGGACCCGTTTTTAATGTTTAATTGACTACTCGGAGCCTTATAATAGGATAAAAGCTTCTTTCCCACATGTTTATATAAATTTTAATTGTGATCTACATAATTCGTCAGCATCTGAACTAAAAAACCTAAAGAGAGACTGCTATTGGAGTCAAATATCTTTAAAACATATTATGCGGAATGTAGTCTAGAGTTATCGGTTTTGGGAAATCTTCGGATATACGGGCATTTTTCTGTTTTGTATGTATGCACGGAATTGTCAACTTTAATGCAAACTTATTAAAGAGACTGACGGTCTAAAGGAGATGGGCTATCAAGATTCTTCCATCTAGAAAATAAAAAAAAACAGAATGTTAAATTTAGAAAATAAAACATTTTGATTAAATATATTTAAATTTAAAATTTTTTTCTGAATGCCCTTAGAATTCTTTAAAGCTTTTATTGCCTCTAAAATTTAAAGGGATTCTTTAATTAAATAGCCAGACAATTAGACTGGCTAAAAGTGCAAACACGTGTTTCTTCTCGAGGTAATGGATGTATAGACAACAATTTAAATCACGCTTCAATTTTATAAATTCTAGACAGGCAATTAATTTTAATAGATTCTTAAAATAATTTATTTCCTTGTTTAAATAAAATTTTTAATATAAATTGCACTTTTATACATAACTTTGTTGGAATCGCTATTTTTTAAAGTTTTCTTGACTTCGAGACCAAGGTAACTTCGTAAAAATTGTATAAACAGGGATATTTTTGCTCTACTCCAGTTTATGCGTCCAAACAAACTTAATGAGTCCAATCAAAAAACAATTGGACTTTTCTTGGTGTTGCAAATTTGGGGTATGGGTTCAAAACATTTCTTCATATTCAGGACCTAAGCCCACTGGGTCTGGGACCGTTCCTTTCCCTATCCCTCGAAATTTTGGAAAGTTAGAATTGGTTTTCCGAAATTTTTAAAAATTGGCTATAACTTTTCGAAATTTCGAGGGATAGGGAAAGGAACGGTCCCAGACCAAGTGGGCTTAGGTCCCGAACATGAAGAAATGTTTTGGACCCATACCCCAACTTTGCAACACCAAGAAAAATCCAATTGTTTAAGCGGTTTCATTATGTAATTGACATAAAACTTTCACTAATCAACTTTTCAAAATTTGTTTTTATCAAGAAAACGTCAAAAATACTTATACAATTTTTGTACTTGACTATATAAAATACAAAATATAAACTACCAAAAGTATTTTCCTTCGCCTAATAACCAGTTTATTTTATTCCTTTTGATTATTTAAAACATTTACTTTACACGATAAATTTATTTTTTATTTACTTTTTTATGATAAATTTATTTTCTTTCTTCCCGTCCTTTGGACTAGACACAGAATTTAAAGTCGTATTAAGAGGAGAGCTGGGAAAGTAATGTTGAGATTTGACTGCATTTGTCCCCACCCCCCTTACTCACTATTTTCTTTTTAGGTTTTTGTTATTTTCCCATTTTTTCATCCCGATTTTTGGTCACCCTTATTATCAAGTTTTCTTACATTTATAATCTTTAATTTGTAAAATTTTATGTTATTTCTAAGCAAAATTATATTATAAAATATCTTTATTATTGTCTACTTATTGTAATGACTGGGAAAATTTTTGTCGTAAGTTTCCTTGTAACATACCTGATAATTTACAAATCATATTATTATATCACAAAGATTATTTTTATCAAAATTTTTCCGTTAGGTTACTGGAGCTAACAAAGGAATTGGTTATGGAATTGTTCGTGGGTTGGCTCAGCAATTAAATGGGGCTATAATTTATTTGACTGGTATCTTTGTTGATTTATTTTAAATTTTGTTTCTTTCGGTTGAAGCCTTCCTGACTTTCCTAGGGCTTTAATTCTTTGATTGAAAGTATTCATGCATATTTTTATTAAATCTAATTACCAATATCTCTCTATTTTCTGAGAGGGAAACATGGGTGCTATTTTCAGACTATAGTAAAGCGGTTGGTCCCGTTCCATAGTGCCTCGTTGTTTAGTTGATGTTATAGGCAGAGTCGCGCATGCGCAATCATGTGTGAACTCCGCAGAGTATAGAAATAGATGAATCGCACGCAGTGGGGGAATATAGGGAGGAAGTGGGGGAATATATATTTCTCTTTTTAGCCAGAAATCCAACACTCGGTGTTGCAGCACTCCAAAATTTAGAAAAAGAATTGGGTGACAAAAAGAAAAGTCAAGTTGTCTTCCATCAATTGGATATAACAGACGAGAATAGTTGCCAAAAATTGGCTCAACATTTGAAAGAAAAACATGACGCTTTAGATGTTTTGATAAATAATGCTGGCTTTGCTTTTAAACAAAATGCTACAGAACATCCGAGTATTCAAGCAGATATAACTATCGCAATTAATTATTATGGAACTAAAAATATTTGTAATGCTTTAATTCCTCTGATTCGAAAAGGGGGGAGGTAATAAAAAATTATTTTAAATTTTGGTTTAGGGAAAAATTTTTTGAAAAAAATACTAGGAATAAATTCGCTATGTTACAAAGCGATAAAAATTATAGAGCACAGCATGTTTCCGTTCCAAAGAAATTCCGGATATCTCGAGATATCTATATCGAAGGTTCTGATATCTTAGCTTTTCGTTACTGATACGCGAAACCCGCCAACTTTGGTATGCAAAACCCGGAATAATATAACGCAAAATAATAATGGTATAAAATAAATTTAAAAAAATTAACATTATTGTTCCTTAACATAACAATTTACATAAAAGTTTAATATTGTCTTTTTATGTCAATTTGGGATGAATTTGAGTTTGGGCTGGAAAATCCCCGAATTTAATATCCGCAGATTAACTTTGCATTATGGTAGTGAAGGATGTTCGGTGAGAGTTGGGGGCCTAATAATAATCATTTTAAGATAATGATTATTATCATTATTGTGGAGCTTCACCCTTCCTAATCTAAATAATTTAGAATCGTTAATGTTTGCAGTCAAGGAGGTGTAATGAACGGAAAGTATGCCAAATACAGCAAAGAATTAGTTGATCGCTTTAGAAATATTTCTGCCCTTAAAGTTTCTGATATTGACAAATTTGTCGAGGAATATAAAAAGTTTGTTGAAAATATTTAAATTGAAAAGCTTATTAATTAAGGCTTGCAAAAGAAGATAAGCGTAAAGAGGGCGGTTATCCAGGTTAAAAATATTTTTAAAAGAAGATTACTAAGTTGAAATGACCGTTTTATAACGTTTGGAAGACAAAAATGTTGCCAATTGTGTTAGCCCGACTCTAAAACCTCGGCCTAAACGGTTAAACTATTCGGCCCTATCTTAAATTAATGCCGCTATCCTATTTTACTTTTCCTTCTCGAATGGGGGAGAAAAAGTATATTTTTCGGCTGTAATACGTCTCGACGAGTTACATAAGTCGAAGGGTATTACTCTTTTCTCCGGAGATGCCTATAGGTGCCCGAAAATCGAAAAAACACAGGAGGGAAGCACTGGTTCTTTTACCACACCCGGTTCTTTTATCTGTCTTAACTTTCTCTTTCTTATTAATCTTCTTTCTCTCATAATTACAATCTCTATAATGTCAAATATTTCTTTAAAATTCTCTTAAGAATTAAAGAAAATTTCTTTTCAGACACAGCTTATGGAGTGAGTAAAGCAGCAGAAATAGCTCTTTCATTGTTACAAGCACATGAACTTAAATATAAAGGAATTACTGTTAACGCTGTAAACATAATTACATAAATCCTTTATTAAATCATTTCAAATTTTTAAAGTGTTGCCCAGGTTTTGTCAATACAGACATGACTAGCCACAAAGGTCATTTAACTATTGATGAGGGAGCGGACACTCCAATATGGCTGGCAACTGCTGAAGAAGTCCCAAATGGGGCGTTTGTTTATTTGCGCAAAGCTATTGAATGGCTGCACTGAATGAATTAAAAATATAAATATATGGATAAACATTACTCATTTTATTGAGATTATTTAGTGATTTTGTCTATTTACTTATATTTTCTTGATTAAAAATTTTACAAAAATTTTGAATAATTGGCTTACATCATTAATACATATATATTTTTTAATTATAGTAGCCATCTAACTTCTAATACCCTTTAAGTGGGTATACCCTTTTATTGGCCATCACCAGTTGAACGAAGCTCCAATATTTCCACCACGACTTGAACTTCAAGTCCCAGAACTTTTTGAAATTGAAGTTAAATTTTGAATAAAAGAATGCTTATTTCAATGTGAAGTTACCTAATGTGTTGTTCTGTGGAAGCTAATTTTGGGAATAATTTGGAGATTAATCCGTTTAAATATGATATTTCAAAACATTTAATTCTCAGGGAATTTTATTGAGACATTTTTGATTAATTTTGTTTTAAACCTTTTGATTTAATATTTTAGTAAAGTTTTATTTTTTTCCAACCAGCCTCTTTGTTGGAAACTTCCCCCTTTGATGAATCAACCTTAACTTTTGTGTTCGGACTTCCGATTTTACAAGTTTTTTTTTCCGATTTCCAAGTTCCAGGGTTTTGATAAATGATCTTTCCCGTCACTGGAACAACTTTCCCTACTGTCGAAACAAAATTCCTGTCATTTCCTGTCGTTGGAAATGACACCAAAACCCAGAGATACTACTACATATAAAAGCCGGATATAATTTGCATATATCTCTTCATTACAAAATCCAAACATCAAAAACCGTTAACAACAAAATCTGTGCAAGGAAGGCCACCAACAATGTTGTTTTCTGCCTTCAACAACAACAAATCGAACAAAAAGCAAACAATGTTGGCAAACATTGCGGCTCTCTCCATTGTTGTTTTACAATTACTTGGGCAGTTAAACGTCACTGTAGCAAACAACAATGTCGGCCTAGGAAATCACATTCTGCAAGAAGGAAAGGTGAAGCTTGCCGCAGGCTCGAGGGTTGTTACCAATAAAGAAGGCTTTGAGAACATGACGATTTCTGCTAATGCTTGCAATGTTAGTTTTGATAAGTGGGGAAATATGTGAGTTATGATTTTTTTAATTATACATACATATCACTCATTTTTACAGTTTTCTACCCTACGAGAATCAAGGGACGGCAAAGGACAAAGGTTGTACGGTGGATCTTCTAACCGATAAGGTGGACGAGATTGTTTTACAATCTGGCTTGCTTAATCGTGTAGGGCTTGGTTATTGTTTGAAAGATGAAGGCGTCAATTCGAATGTGTAAGTTTAGATTTTAAGCAATGAAATTTGAACGCTAATTCCATTATTTTGTAGACTACCTTTTGCCTACAGTCTGACAAATGAACAAGTCGAGAAATTTCACAACGGCCCGCTCTTTGCTAACGGTTCATGCTATAGTTGTGCGGAGGGTTGTGTCAAGAAGACTGGTCTAGAAGTTAGATGGGTAATGGATGAGGGTCGAGACAAAGGCGGATATGCTGAATATGCTGTGCTTAATGTAAATCCAAGTAAAATATTTGTCCATAATTAAAGTATCAAATTCGTTTATTTTAGTTGCCACAAAAATGGTTTATTATGTTGGCAAAAAATGGGACATGAGAAACAAATATGTGCAATGGTTATCCGACATAACAATCAACAAAACGGATCCCAAATTTCACATCAAATCTGCAAAAAGAGAGAAAGACACGTTTGCTCAATCATATACTAGTATCTGCCTAAATACCTCCAAAGAAGACATTCTCTCGCCCTCAACATGGGAAATTGTTGGTACGAGTCCAGAGCCAAAAATGAATCGGCTGTTGGTTTTTCATCTCCTTCCACAAACGGCATCGCGGCAGAGGATGTTAGTAAAAAGTAATCTTACTCAGTTACCGGAATATGCTGTGGTAAAAGAACATCCAGAAGGGCCCATATGCGATGAAATTGTGATTATATTTGTAAGGACCTTTCATTCAGTTTCTCTAACATTATCGTTTTTAGCCTGGGAGTAACTACAGATTGTTGGCAACTCCAGTCACTTCGGCACCGAAAGATCCAACAGATGGAAACACAACTGTATTCAATGTTGGTCTTAGGGATCACACTCTTCAAGACGGAAAGGTGGTACTTGCTAAAGGATCTATGGTAGCCAAAAAAGAAGACGTTGAGCAATACAAGTCGATTTCTGCGGATGCTTGCGATGTTGATTTTAATGAGGAGGGGAATATGTGAGTTTTGACTTTGTCTTTGTTATTATATTTCGAATTGTTTCACAGCGTTATCCACTACAAAAATCGAGGGACGACAAAGGATAAGGGTTGTACGGTGGATCTTCTAACCGATAAGAAGAACGAGATTGTTTTCTGGACTGGTATGCAGAATCAAGGAGGACTTGATGGTTGTATGAGAGAGGGTGACATCAATTCGAATGTGTAAGTTGAGATTTTAAGTAAAATTTGAACGCTAATTCCGATTATTTTGTAGACTACCTTTTGCCTACAGTCTCACAAATGAGGAAGTCAAGAAATTCCAAAACGGCCCGCTTTTTGTTAAAGGTCCATGCCGTTGTAATGAGGGATGTGTCGAAAAGACGGGGCTAGAAGTTAGATGGGCATATGATGAAGATCAAGGCAAAGAAAATGTTGGGCTTTATGCAAATCCAAGTAAATATCCGTGTATTAAATTATACCTAATTTATCTATTTTAGTTGGTACGAAATTGATTTACTATCTTCGTAAAGAATGGAACTTGAATAAGACAGGTGTGTACTTTGATGTCATAATCAATCAAACAGTTCCTAAATTTCGTATCAAACAGTTCCGATATATCACAGTGAATTTGAAAACTGTTCCTCACATAGAATTTTCAAAGAAATACAATACTCAACCATCTAGCTGCAGCAATAACCTCGAACAAAACATTCTCTCGCCCTCAACATGGGAAATTGTTGGTACTAGTCCAGAGCCAAAAATGAACCGTTTGCTGGTTTTTCATCTTCTTCCACAAAAGTCATCGCGAAAGAGGGTGTTGTTGGAAAATACTTTTTCTGGAAAACCGGAATATGTTGTGGTAAAAGAACATCCAGATGGGCCCAAATGCGATGAGATGCTGATCATATTTGTAAGTAGTAATCTCATATTCGATTAATGAAATATTCTTTTCAGTCTAGAGATAACTACAGATTGTTGACTACTCCAACATCTTCTATCACTTCAACGCCGAAACCAACTCAAAAGGAAAGGAAGAGTTCAGTTAATAGAGAACATACATCTCCAACATCAACTTCTACTAGCGATAATGACATAACAACCTCACTGTCTGAGAGCACACCAGAAATTCCTGAAACTTCGAAAACTGCACCTCCTTTGACATCTGCACCTCCTTTGAAAAAAAGGACAACTACAATAACATCTACTTCAATAACAATGACTACTACCACCAAAGGCTCTTCAGGCTTACTGTTTTTTGCTGTGATTATCGTTGTTATTCTGATTGTCATCGGCATTGGAATTGCTGCTTACTTCTTCGTCATTATGGAGAGCTTTGACAAGGAGGAGAATGATGCTGAGGCAGGTTATGGGACTAAGGTAGATGCCACAGGAGAAGTTCAAAACAAGGATAATGTCACAGGAGAAGATCAAAACAAGGATAATGTCAAAGGAGAAGATCAAAAGAAGGAAGATACAGAAGAAGAAAATCAAAAGAAGGAATATGGTGAATTAGAAGAAAAGAAGGAAGATCTCACGGGAGATAATCAAAGGGCGGATGAAGTCGCTAAAGACGATAATAAAGCAAAAGAGAAGATAGAGGTGACTGCAAAGACGGCTGCACCAACAACTGAAAGCCAAACTAAAGAAGAGCAGGCGAGTGCCGAAGATAAGAATAAAGAAGAGGGAGAGGAAAAGAAAGTCGAAACTCAAGAAGATGAGTGAGATTTTTAAGAAAACAAGAGATACACATATGTCTAAAATGTAATTATGTATGTACCTATATAATTTTATCAATATATGTATAATAATCATGGGGGGTTTTTTTAATTTACATATTTTTTGCGAACTAGTTTTAATGATTTTGGACCTATTTAGGTGCCTATTATCAGTTTTTTGAAAAAAGCTGGTAATAATCCCTATCTACACATAACTAGATTACATGTTTATCGCTATTTAATTGTCTGTCACCTAAAATGCGGCACAAAATTATAAGCCAGAGGGCCATTCAATTAAAATTCGTTAACTCGGGATTGGGGTTTCCAAATACTAAATTTTGGGAGAAATATTAAATAAAATTAGAAATGTGCCTAAAAGTTTTTGGAATTATTTAAATGAGTTTATAAAATCCAAAGTTTTGTGAATCTTAACCAGTATACTCGAAATATACTCTTTTCGAGTATATTGTAGAGTAAAGGCCAAAATTAGAGAAAATCCTCTATAAATATGGTAGTGGTCGACATTAAAATTAGTGTTGACGTTTTCTGTTCGGGCCGACGTTCGGTGCATTTTTTTCGAGCTTGGTTTTTTTCGGTACGTTTTCGAGCTGAAAAGCCTCGGCTTGCTCGATCTTTCGAGTTTTTAAACATCGAAATTATAATAAATTTAAAAATTCAATAATAAAAGAAATTCTTAACTACAATAATTTATTTTTCAATGAAATAAGGAATGAGTGTTTAAACATATGTTTGACAAGAGATTTGTAATCATTTTATTTGTTAGGAAAAAATCTAAATTTGCACTGAACACTCAATATTTAAAATTATTTCAATCATATTTTATAGATATAACTTCATTGCCATCCTCATACAAGTTATCAACCTTAAAAAATTTTAAAAACAAAATTAATTATTTAAAAGTATTTATGGCAGGAAAATCATAAAAGTTCTCTAAACTGCTCTACCATCTCTGTTTTTAACCCTTATACATATTTATATCGTACTTGTATCAAGTACGAGTAATAATTTTGGCATGAGCATCAAAGCACTGATTGTAGCATTTACTAGAGACTGAGTCGAGATCTCAAATAAAAATCATTATTATCGAGACCGAAATTTTTTGAGATATCGATCTCAATCTCGTACGACCAACGCAGTCCTCCCTCTAGTCATTGAATAGTCCCGCCTCTATTTGGTTTCATTATAAGTAATATCAGTCTTGATTTTCATTATCTAATTTTGTCATGAGTTTTTGAATTTTCTATCTCGTAAGTTTATAAAAATACTATTTCTTACTTGGATATATTGTGACAATGATATAGGTATATCCAAAACAACATGATTTTCAAATACATCTTCTTTTGTTTCTAATAAGTACCAAAGTGAAGAATTTTTAAAAGTTAGAGATAATTTTATCTGTTCATTTTCCTTTAAACTTTGATGGTCAGAACATATATTATTTTCTTTCTTTTTTAACTTAATCCAGACTCCATTCTTTTAAATTTGATTAATTAAAATTAATTTTAAAATTAACTACCGTATATGAATCTACACATACAGAGTCTCTTGTAATGTTCATTTGGAAGACTGTGTTGCCTACTAAATGAAAATTTACATATAAAGTTTTAGAGATAGTTTACGGGAACTTTTATAAGAAATGAATATATTGTAGATTAGTCTTATTCTTTAGACGAATAGCCCAATAGCCCGGATTTTTAATAAATACTGCATGAGGCACCTAAACTAGTCAACAAAATGTACACGAAAATAGTACGAGGGATATCGGCGGATTAAGAGGGATATCGGCGGTTAAGAGGGATATCGGCGGATTAATGTAAAGATCGCGGAAAGAAAATGATTAAATTATTTAAAATCAGACATGTCTCATTCCATTTTATAGCTGCATGAAGAAAATTAATGGTAATATTTTCTCTGAATATATCTGATGTTTTTCCTCTAATAATAACTTCGCTTTTACTATTCAATTGTTTTTCTATTCTCTTTGTGTTTGCATCTAATTTAGCTTCTGGACTATTGGATGTTAGCTTTTGACATTTATCAGAATTTTCATTAAATAATACATTATAAATATAGCCAGATACCTGTAAAATGAATTATTAATTGAATTAATAAGTCCCTTAAGACGTCGATGTAGTTCATTTACGAGGGACGAATTGGAAGATTCACTTATTAAAAAATAGAGGGCATTTGAATCTGTGTAAATGTTTCAAACTAAATTGTATGAGATTTTCTCCCAGGAGAAGGTCATAGGCATTTAATAGGTAATTGGTAAGGCTACAAAAATACCAAAAATAAGGGAGGCCAGAAAATTTTTTGAGTAAAATCAAGCTAAAAACTCTATTTTAATAAAAACAAAATATACCTCAACACGATTTATTGACCAATGGGGATATGCATTTTGATAATAGAAGAGATTATCACCATCGTTAATATTAATCTTGTAATGACCCTCTGAAGCTATAATTCTCATAACTATAGGCATGCCAGGCCCAATTGGATTTTTATAGTGTTTTTCATTTATCAAAACGTTCTTAGGGCTATAGCTTCGTATCTCTATTTGCGTGTGACATAAAGAAAGATGTCCCTTATTTTTCCCTATATTTATGTCAGGCTCAAAGTTTAACTCTAGTTGCATCACAAGGCCAACACCTGTTTAAAAGAATGTTAAATAGATAGATTAAAAATCTTACCAAGATTATTAGAAATTTGGGGATCATGAACTAATTGTACAAAAAAAGAAGAGGGATTATAATTCATCTCTTTACCACTCGGTATCCGAGCCTCAAAACAAACGATTGTTCCATTTATTTTTAAGTCATCAATCGCTTTTCGGTCACGCCGATATGGTACACTTTGATCATGACCACGGGTATAATGTCTATCCAAAAGCTGAACATCACCGTTTACCTAAAATACTATATGTTTATTAAAGTGATAGCCCCTCCGCATTTCATAGAGCGGAGATATAAACGGAAGGTCTAAATCCTTCCAATAGAAAGGTGGAAGAAGGGAAAATTTTGTTCATAATCAAAATTAAATTTGTTATTATGATCATATTATTATATACATATTCATCGGTTCGGGAGAACTTTAATCATTAATCTAATTGTATGCATTAACATTTTCGAGTTTAGGACTTAAGAGTGAATTTTGAACAGTTAAGAGTTAATCTAATGTAACTAAATAAATTCTAAATAATCCAACTTTGAAACGCATAAAGGTGAATTTTTAAAAACTTTAAAATAACCAAAATTCTATTAATTGTCCAGATTTGAAAATAATTTTCTATTTTAAATTCATCTTTAAGTTCATTATTAATATATGTTTCGATTAATGATGTATGAACAGTTGTTAGTTGATTATTTATAATTCGTTCATTTATTACATCACTAACATGTAAAAAAAGCTCGAATACTTCTCCCTTTTTAAATATTCTTCTTGGAAACTTTTTGCATCTAAATTTAGCACATTCTTCATTATTAAATCCCTTCTCTTTAATACATCGATTATAATAATTATCACACTTAAATTTATTTATTTAATCTCGTTATAGTAAAGCAGCTGGGCTATAGCTATTTCTCTCCTTTAGCTAGTGCAAAAGGTTATTCGGCGGCTGGGAGCGAACCAGCATCTTCAGTAGACCGGACTGATGTGTTAGCCATTACACCACGCCGCCTACTGCTCAGCCTTAGGAAATTAATAGCTATATGCTTTACACCTCCATCCCCAGGGAAGACTGTCCCTAGTCTTCTTATCTGCCCTCTTCCCGCTTTTTCTCTCACCTGCGGGGTAGCTTAATCATCGCCTTCTCTGGCGGAATTTCATTTCTCTAACCCAGGGCCTATGGGATGGATCGTCATTCGTTCAGCGTTCGCTGAACCATCCGGTGCTACCAGTAAAGCAGCTGGGCTATAGCTATTTCTCTCCTTTAGCTAGTGCAAAAGGTTATTCGGCGGCTGGGAGCGAACCAGCATCTTCAGTAGACCGGATGATGTGTTAGCCATTACACCACGCCGCCTACTGCTCAGCCTTAGGAAATTAATAGCTATATGCTTTACATTATTAAAAGAATCTTAAGTAGTTTGTTTCGGGAACTTATCATATTTGATAAGTTCCTCTTATTCAAATATTGTATAACATTTTCATAATAGTACATATATACTTACATTTCCTGTTTTAATTGCTATTTTTGTTAAATTATCGAAAACCTCAAAACTATAAACAACTGTTCCAACTTAAAATAATATTAAATTTCAAATGAGTATTTTTTAAAAATTACTGTAACGATTTTCTTCTATGCCATTAAATAATTTAATACTAAATTTCCTTGCATTATTGTTTATTTTTAAATAAAAATGATAAGATATTCCCTTGCTAATAGGCTCGCTTATCTTGTGTGAATATGGCATTTTAGTCATTTTAAACATTTCATTGTAATACTAAATGTAATTGAATTAATGTTGAGATAAAAATAAGACTACTGAGTAGGGTTGTCGGTTTCAAACCGAACCGAACCGAAAAACCGAAGATTTTCGGTTCGGTTTGTCGGTTCGGTTTATCGGTTCGGTTTCGATTAACCGATGAATCTTGTGAAACCGACAACCATACTACTGAGATAAAAATATGTGGCTATGGTCTAGTTTAGTAGTCCACTGAAAGTTTATTAGCCCATTCAAAGTATATGAGTCCAATGAATATGAGTCCAATGAAATTTTTGGGTCCCATAAAAGTTTATTAATCCAGGCAAAATTGTCAATGAAATTTTATGAGTCCAAACAAGATTTATAAAATAGAAATTAAGATATTTCTGCATCACTCATTTTATATTTTAATTTTTGTGCTATTAGAAATGCGGCTGTACTTTAGTACGTTGGTGCAGGCTTTAATATCAACTGTTATATCATTTGAAGAAGCTACTCGAGCTGAGTCAAATGTTACCAAAATTAGTCCTAGGGAAAATTTTTGAACCGGGATACAGGCGATTGAAAATTGAAAAACCATAGGGGGGAGTAAGCTCAATTTTGGGGTGAAAAATTCGAATATGCAAATTATAACTCATTTGAAAGAGCTCGTCGAGCTGAGTTAATAATTATCTTAAATCACTTTGAAAGGAAATTCCTATCTTTCACAATCTAGGCCTTTATTTATTTTAAAATAAAAGAAAAGGGATTATTCAATTCTCCGCTTATAGCCTATGTTTTTGTTATGAAGCTCAAAGTTTAAAAATGAGGAGATCTGAAAACTAAATTCAATTATGGGGTGGAAAATACGAATGTGCAAACGTTTTTTCTGTGATCTCGATTCTCGTACTCCAAGTCCGGTTTCTAATTTAAACTGGCAATTTCTTATATAAATTTTTTGATGTTTTTAAGAATATACACTAAGTGGGAGTAAATGTTTCAAAAGATTTTCTTTAAATAAATTATTATTATATCCTAATACTTCTACTCAACAGGCATTTAGTCTATAGAATATTGTCAGTAGGAGGAAGTAAAATTTTAAAAACTTACATCCAAGTTTTGTTCATTAACTACTTTAATAACTATAGGGGTAACTAAAACGAAATCACCACTAATTGACATGTCGATTTTAGATTCATTCAAAAATTTTCCTGTCCACCAATCGTTTGGCCATAATTGTCTGATGAATTTTACAAAAACGTTACTTTCAAATAATATCCAAACAAAATAATTGCTTATTCGTATAGTTAATTCTATTTGTGCTCCAAAAGTAAATAAATTGTTAGAGATACTTTTTCTATCTGGCCTTGGCACTAATTGACGCTAAAATGGGGGAGAAAATTTCACGCTAAAACCGATTAAGAAAATTTTGAAAACCCGAGCCGAAATCTGAACCGAAATTCTCGGCACATTCTTGGTGCCCAAAATACAGACGATTCACCTAGAATATTTGCTGAATGGAGTTAAAAATACATTTAATATTATATTACTATAAAGCTTACCATAAAAGGATAAAGAAATATTTCGCTGCCATTAAAATTTATTTTTAGAAAAATAGTATCTGTAGAATTAGAAAATGCAATTGAGCCATGACTTCCATTTTTACTTGCCCATATTGAAAATTTAAATATTTTTTCTCCATCCTTTATTCTTCCTAATTTGTAACTTGTATTATTAGAATATTTTGCTGAACAATCTTTGTAAATCTGCAACCCTGATGTATTTTTTGGCTTTAATGATTCTGGTATTGTTGGGGGTTTGAACTAAATATATTATAAATCAGTGTAATACCAGCTTAAGAAATAAATTCCATTTCGGAGCTCGGGATTCCCGACCCAGAGAACGTCAGAAATTTCTGCTTCTCGGGAATCGGACTGCAGGATACCTATTATAAATTGTAATTGTCCAATATTTATTTGTCTCAAAAATGCCAGAAAACTTTTTTTCAGAGCCGTATCAAACAAAAATTGCTAGAAAGTGTCAGCTCTACCCTTAGATAATTCTTCAACAATTTACCCAAACATCAATAGAACAAGCACATCCTCTATAAACAAATAAATGTAAATTTCGTTCTGCCGATGTTGGTAACAAATCCAGTCCAAGAGCCCAAAGTCCAGCATATTTGTGAAGATATGCACCCTTATCAACTTTGGATTTGTATTCTTTGAGAAGATTATTATCATTGCCAAGAAGCATTTGTTTTGCTGAATGTAATATTTTTCTGATTTTAAATTTATAATCCGATTACAAACATTTATGAGTGCTGTTCTCCAAAATAACACGTGTGAATAAATCTTCCATACGACCAAATTTTATATAAAATTTTAAAGTCTCATTTATTCCATATCTAAAATATGTATTTAATGTTCTAGTATTCCACTATATATAAAAAAACAATTACTTTTGCTTTGTAATAGACAAAGTGATTGTTGTTACTAAAACAGGGGAATTGCTCGGGTTTCGATTAATGTCTTCAGTTTTGATCATAATTCCGTGCCAAATAGACGAGCCAGGTTGACCCAACTTACAAAAATGTCTGTTTTTTTCTTCAAAACAAAATTCTTTCCTTCTTTGTTCACATTGTATGGTTATATTGTTCTTTTAAATTTTGAATTATTTGGAATACACGAAACTGAGTATTAAGGGTCGAAACCCGGTAGTAACCGAAAACAAGAAGCCTAAATACCAAAAGAAAACAAACACAACAAACAAAACTGATATTATAATTTCTTATCTGTGCCCAAAATTTTGGACATTTACATAAAATCATTCAATTTTGTTATGTCTTCGATTGCTGAGTGTCTGAGGATAACAGAATAAAGACATTATCACACAAGACTACAGAAATTCATAATAAAAGCATACCCTCTTACCCTATGAATCATGGGGGCATGCTCAATATTTTAAGTAACCTAAATTATTTACCCTCCTTCCTTCACGAAGGCGATATGGAACTGTTGTAATAATCCCATTTCGTCTATTATTACCTACCAGTTGGCTTGGGTAGCAAATTAATAATCTAAATATATTATCAAAAGAATATTTATAATATTTTTTATTTACTCATCACAAAGATAAAGGTATGGTCTTTCGAAGATTAAACCATAAGAGCCGTGTTCTTTTTGTCCTGGGCGCAACATGCACTGATCAGTATTTAAATATGGAAGTTGGAAATGTGTATTGACCATGTCAGTCAAAAACACGCTTAATTCAATTATTATTAGTTCGAGTTAGTTCGAGATAGAGTTTAAGTTTGGATATTAAAGAGAGATTGGGGGGATTTAATATATATTTTTACTCTTGTATATATCTCGCAAGTTTTGCTGATGCCTGAAAATTTAGGTTCGATTTTCGTTTGAATATCCGAAGAATTTGATAAAACAAAATCCCGCTGTTTACTAAATCTGATTCAAATATGAGAATGCACCTTGGAGATTCCGATATTTGATAAAAAAAATCTTGGTTTAGCCAAATTCCATTTCCCGTCTCCTGGTCCCAGTTTTAAAAATTCCAATTGACATGCCCTACTTAGGAAAAGCAAATACAATGACAAAATGGTTAAAATCCAAGGCTTAGACAAATGATCGCAAATAGTGTTGCTAAAGCTGAGTTATTCTATAGAAATTAATATGTAATATCAAACGTACTGGTTATTATTTGCTTGCTGATCATTCTTGTATATATCTCGCAAGTTTTGCTCAGCAAAAACATAATAAACAAATAAGATAATATTAAATTTTGTTAATATTATCATTTTTATTAAATATTCGAAATTACAAAAAGGAGCAGATATTTTTGTATATTTTACTAAATATTATTTTAAAAAATAAAAATTATTAATTATAAAGTGATCGTGTAAATCAAAAAATGATTGTGACATAAATTTCCTGCCAAACTAAAATAAATTATATTTAGTTATATGATGACTGTTTGTGAAAATATTTTTTATGTGAATATATTTTTAGGATATAAAATTAATTGATGGAAATTTACTTTAAAATAAAATTTAATTTAAAGGTTAATACTGCTTTAGTTTAAAAAATGCTTAAAAATATTTTAATATTATCTCATTCAAATTCTCATTTCTAAATTTTTTAATATGGAAAACGGAAACAAAAAAATTATTCATTAAATAACTAGCTCTGGGTTACGTATGCGATGGCGGTAAGTTACGTATGCAATTCCTATTATGATACTCTGGCAGTTTTTTTCGGACTCTGCCCGTTGGAAAGCCTAACGGCTTTGGGGCGCGCTTCGCGCGCGGCTAGAAGGTTTTTTGCTTCTTCATTTAAAAATGGCCTTGGAAATCTCGTCGGGCCTTCGGCCCGCCGCGTTTAAACAACATTCTGAATCGTGGGATGGATGCCAATCTCGGGCCTTCGGCCCTCGAATTACTTGCACATGCCTCGAGGGATGGATGGAAATCTCGGGCCTTCGGCCCTCGAATCACTTTTACCATGCCTCGAGGGATGGATGAATGCTCGGGCCTTCGGCCCGAGCGTTGCTTCGGGCCTTCGGCCCTCGCCTCTAAGAATCACTTATACCATGCCTCGAGGGATGGATGGATGCTCGGGCCTTCGGCCCTCGCCTCCAAGAATCACTTATACCATGCCTCGAGGGATGGATGGAAATCTCGGGCCTTCGGCCCTCGAATCACTTTTAACATGCCTCGAGGGATGGATGGATGCTCGGGCCTTCGGCCCAAGTGTTGCTTCGGGCCTTCGGCCCTCGCCTCCAAGAATCACTTTACCATGCCTCGAGAGATGGATGGAAATCTCGGGCCTTCGGCCCTCGAAAATCCTGTAACTTGCCTCGAGGGATGGATGAATGCTCGGGCCTTTGGCCCGAGCGTTGCTTCGGGCCTTCGGCCCTCGCCGCCAAACTCCTCGGCCTTCGGCCTCGGAAAGCTCGGGCCTTCGGCCCTCGCCCGGCGGGCTCCGGTCAGCCGAACTCCCCACACCAGAAAACTCTGACCCACATATCATGGTCAGACTCAAGTGACCCCTTCAAAATTTATATTTTTTAGATGGATCTGATTATGCTCTACAATATAACGTAAGTATTTGTAATTTATTACCTTTCCTTAGGTACCCCACCAGCTAAATTACCCCCCTGACTCAAAAATTACAATGCCCCATAACTCACTCAGACTCAAGTGGAACCTCAACAAAGAAATGTTTTTTGGTGTATTCAAGGATGCTCTACAATATAACGTAAGTCATTTTAATTTATTACACCTCCTTTGGTAACCCACCGGGCATAAGTACCCCCAGACTCAAACTTTTGACCGTCCATAACTTTGGACAAAATGGTCAGAAAATTTTCAAAAAAATATTTTTATACTGAGGGCGATAAGGGCTTTCGATTGATATATCATTTGGCCCATCTATTGCCATTTTGAAAAAATTAATTTTTTCACCGAAAATTTAGGTCGAAAAAATCGACCAATTTTTCAAAAAATCATAACTTTCCCAAAGTTAACCTTTTTTGACGATTTTAAAGGGCTATTCTATGCAGAAAATTCTGCTCTATCCAGGAAAAATACCCACGCCCCGAACCGCCGACAAAAAACCCGAAATTTTTTGAAAAAACCGAAATTTTTTGGGTTTTTCGAAATTCGACCCCTACGGTTTCAATTTCGACTTTTTTCGAAATTTTCTTCACTCTAAAAATACCTAATTTTTAGGACTATTTTTAGAAAGAAACCCCATCCCAATTCCTTTATCCCAAAAAAAGTTAAGGTCCCCCAAAAAATCCCGAATTTTCCCCAAAAGGGGTACCCCTTTGGAAATAGGGGGTGGGACAAAATTTTGGAAATTTGGGTCAAAAATAGGCCTATATGGTACTCTGACACCCGCTGAGTACGAATCCGGCCTCGAAAAAATTTTTAAAAAATTCCCCGGGACGTTAGAGTCTCAAAAAGTTTTCCGACATTTGGCCAATTTGGCTATAACTTTTTGAGACTCAAGTGGACCCCCAACATCTTATACCTTTTTCTGACCGCCAGGGGACGCTCTTTCGAATGGGCTATCGAAACCGGATTTGAATTCACTTTTTAAAAAATCGACTCAAGTCGAACCGACTCTTTGGACCATAACTCCCCCAAAAGTCGATTTGAGACTCAAGTGTCCCCCAAGTGAAATGTCCTAAACTCTTATGCCTACAACATAACATTACTTCCAGAATCATTCCCCAGCAAAATTTTTTCAATATAAACGTTTTAAGCACTCAGACTCAAGTATCCAACCCCCAGACTCAAGTGACCCCTCCAAAACAAAGGTTGTTAGATGCGTCTTATTAATACCTATCTTAGGTCTCCCAAGCGTTTCGCGCTATCTCTTACCAAAAAGTAGTTAAGGTTCGGCGAATATATGGGGCAGGGGTCAAAATCCTGCGAAATTCAGGCTCCTGGCCCCCCCTTTGAATTTTTTGAAAAATTTTTTTTTGATTCGTAATCTACTACTCGTGGGACGCGTGCCTCCCAGCAAGACCTTCCCCCGGTTCTATTGGACTTTTCCGAGATAGCAAAATGACCCATGTCGTTTCTGCGATTAAATGGCCGCGAATAAACTTTTCCGTATTTTTCCCAGATGCGCCATTGAATTCTACCCCCCAAAGCCGCAAACCGTCTGGGCGTACCACTTCTCCTTCCCGACTTCTGAATTTTTAAAGAATCTCGCGGAGGTTTTTTTTATACTATTATAATTATAATAACATTTTTATTTTAGCATGGCTGATGCGCTTTTTAGCTCCGAATTCTTTTCAAAATATTCAAGAGAATTATACTGAATTTTCTGCTGATATATCGACTTTCCTTGAATACTAAATTTTTTTCAAAATATTTTTAACTATTTCAAATATAAAGGATTTTCAATTTTTTTTCTTTTTTGAGATTTAGGTCAACTGGGAAACTATATATGTTCCTTAAGACATAAATTCAGATTGATTTAGGTAGTTAAATGTTCAATTATTAGATCAAAAACATTACCGATTATTTCTATCCCTTTTGTATCGATAGAATATATTTACACATTTTCTACTTATTTTTACATATAGGAGAAAGCTTATTTTTTCGTTTTTAGGCTTTATTCACAATATTAAAATTACATAAGCTTTAAAATGCGGTCTACCATTGATTTAATCATTACAAAAAAATAATAGGAAAAGGAAGATGAAAAAAGAAAAACTTTATTGTGTGCATTTTTATAAACACATATTTCCCTTTTTTTAAGTTTAATTTACCAACGCTTTGACAAAAATATTTTAATGGGAATAAATAAAGGACTTCAAGTTGCTAAATTCTGCCAATTAACATGATTTCGAAGCCAACTCGGTGTCTCACAATCATGATAAGTATCCGGTATTTTTCCGTCGTCCAAACTCTTCCTATATTCTTGAACTAAAATGGAATATCAAAGGATTTGGAGTAGGAATTACTCTTATTCTTCTTAACTTACATCGAGGATCTGTTTCTTGATTTAAACGATATATGGGCATATGGATTACATGGGGAGATATCCCTCCACTATCCCAATTCTGTTTTCCCGTAATATTTAAAAGTAATCTCGATCAGAGTATCAATCACATTTTAATTTCAATTTTTCAGTTTTAAAAATCAACAAAAAATTCAAAATTAGTTCAGATTAATTATATTGCCACATTTATTATTTCCCACATTTATTAACGTTGATCTTTAACTTTTTCTCTCCTTTTTCAAGTCAATTTCTATAATGCAGCAATGGGTAAAGATTGCTTATGAATTAGTTATTTTTACAGAATTAAATAATTGTTTTTTATATTATATAATTCTTAAACTAAACGAATATTTAATAAATTTTAAATACTCCCGATCCCGATCAGGCTGGGCGAAAATAAAATTTCGCCCTCTACAAAACGAAAACGAAAAAAATAAAATCATCAATGTACGAGAAAACGAAACTAAAAATCTCAATTTCCCCCGGCTCTGGTCCCGATTGCCTCCCCACTCGCTGCGTGCCACTTGTATAAGTGTTATTACTTGGGCTACACTAAAGCAGCCACCAACTGCCGCCTGGAATCGAAGTTATGGTCCTGCGTTAAATAAGTTATGGCCCTGGGTGGGTCTTTAAGGCTTGATCTGAGTTAAATTATTCAGTTTAAATTAGAGTTGGACAAGCCGAGACCGATACCGAGACCGATACCGAGATTCTCGGCTTTTTTCCAATATCGGTCTCGGTTTTTTCATTCTCGGTCTCGAAACCGATACCGAGATTCTCGGCCCATTTCTCGGCGAGAAACGATACTGACTCAAAGAAACAAAATCCTCAGTATTGTCCAAGATTTCGTCAATAATTTTTTTCGGATATCCGTCCATAACAGAGAAAGTGCTTTGTTTTTAAATAAGGTCTTCTAAAATTCAAAAATTTTCGCCTGCGGCGCTGAAAATTGGAAGAAATATGTTGACTTGCACTTCTAGAATTCTCAAAATTTTTGCCTGCGGCGCGGAAAGCAAGGTATTTAAATACCAATTTTCCATCATGGAACGGCTCAGAAAAATATCGGTTCAGTATCTGGAGCTCAGATCTCCCGATATCCCTCCAAATCCCCTGATATCCCCGCATCAATCGAGCCTTCATCCTTTGCTATCTCCCCAACTCATCGACATCCGTCGACAATCCCATGGTATCTTTTTAAATTTCCTTGATCCCTCCAAATTATCCATCTAAATCCTCTGATACCCTTCTTAATCCTTTCTTGTATCCAGGATAACTTTTTAAATCATTACCCATCCAGCTTACATGTATAACAAAGTCGAGTAGTATGAATAATAATTAATAATAATAACGAATGTATTATTTTTACACGTATTTTTTGACATAAAATAAAAATTTCTGTAGTCTCGGTCAGTATCGTTTCTCGGTATCGGTCTCGGCTCAAAATGATGGTATCGGTCTCGGTATCGGGTTCTTGAGTATCGGTCAATCTCGGTCTCGGGTTAGCCGATACCAGTATCGTTTTGTCCAACTCTAGTTTAAATTATTGAATATTTTAAAAAATTTAAAGCAAAAATATACTTTAATATTTAAGTTAATTTTCTGGCGATATGTCAGTAGAAGATAATTGTTATGATGTTTTGGACAGATTTATGGCAGCATTAAATAATTATAATCGTTTTTTAAATTCCAATGATTCATCAAATGCTAAAGGTGATTACAGCATAAACAATAAAAATCAAAATTCTGAAAAATTGATTAAATCAAATGGTAATTTTCATAAATTAACATTTTTGGGTAAAATTGAACTTTGTAACCCACGCCCCTTCCTCCCTCCCCCTTTAGAATTACCATTTGTTAACACATATCCTATGTCGATAAGTACCCATTTCAGCTTTCAAGAGCCATTGCCAAAGTTGGTTGTGTGTACCACTACTTATAATGGGTTCACCTATTCCCATTAAATTTTTTAGGCATTGAAGCTCTGTTAACCCATAGTTGTGGTACACAGACATAATACCGGACCATTGGTTCTAAAAAAGCATCTTGAGTACTTATCGCCATAGAGTATGGGTTGGAACTTTTAAATCTGTCCATTTTCCACTTTGTGAGTGAGAATAAGTGGGAAGAGGTCCTATTTTGTCCTTTTAACACTGTTAAACAATATTAAGTTTTTGATAAAAATATTAGACAATAATAACTATTTTTGAGATAGTTTATTTGAGCTTTAGGTTAAAAAATCTAGTAGCATACTCAAATTTTTAGATTCGAAAGCAATTCAAAATGATGATCAGTGTATTAATAACGGAACAAAATACAATCATGATGACTTCAACAATACAAGTATATAATGTTTAACTTTAATTAATCCCCTTTTCCTTTTAAATTTGAGGCTTAAAGAGGAAAGAAGAGGAATTAGAAATTTTTTTAGATAGAAAAAAGATTTATGATAAAATTCGATTATCGGACCTAAACTCTGCACATTAAGAGTTTGGGGCACTTAATTTCTATCATTAGCCGGGTGACCCTTCTGCCCTAATTACAGGGCATTTGCCCTATTCTCGACCAATCTCGCCCTATTTTTGCCACATTTTAGAGTGGCTGCGTCCTATTTGAGTGGATTGGAAAGGGTCCCCCTGATCATCAATAGAGCTGAACTGGGAGGGTTATACTGATTCGACGACTATTGATGTCGATAACAGAGGCCGGTTCCTAATCACATACCCCGATTTCTAATTATGAGTAACTCTTTTCAAAGGAAAATAATTACTTTCAGCTTATCCTATTTAGAAGTCAAAACAGAATGCACGGTTCCAGCTTACAGTTTTAATGACTCAGTTAACAATGCCACCTTTAATTGGGCGGTTGTTGGTGCCGCTGTTGGACTTTTATTTGGAGGCTTTAAAGGTGCAATTATTGGATCTGTTATTGGAGCTGCTGTGGGGATTATACTTGGTGCTATTGTTTATGTTTGTCATTCTATTGACAAAGTCTGTGTTGCCGTTATTAATACAAGCGAGGATGTTAGTAGAACACTTGTTGATGTTAGTATGGCTTGTAAATCTGCGGAAAATGTTTGTAATGCTATTCAAAGCCCATACAAAACTATTTCTGGTGGAATACAAAGTAGTGTTTCTAATGCTTGGAAGACCTTCAAAGGCTGGTTTGGATGTTGATAGATAAATTGATAAGGATATATTGGCTCTGGTTTGGTTTATTAGTCTCTCAATCTTTTTATTGGGTCCATAAAAGTTCACTGGACTCATACATAAACTAGACCAGAAATTAAATATTTCATTTTGCTATTTTTTCGTTAAAAATCATGTATTTATATCCTAATTTTTATTTTATAAGCATTGTTATATCGTTTGTAGTAATTTCGTTAAATTATTTAGTAATTAATTTTTAAATTGAGAATTCTTAAATTTGTATACTTAAACAATTTTTAGAAGCATGCTTTTATGTACATAATTTGAAACTATACACACTACCTTTTAAAGAAAACATTCTGCATCAAAATTGTTTAAATTTATCCCCTCATAATTCGCCCCCTCCCCCTCCTGTATATATAACAAAATTTTTAAAATTAGTTTCAAGTTTAATTAATTCATTTTCCTCTCTTTCAACCAAAATCCAATCAGAATTTGTTGATAATCCTTCCTCAGCCATGTCGTTGAACTTTCAATTTTTAATTTATTAGTGAAACCCTGACATTCGACCCCGCAAATAAGTCAACGACGACCCCGAAGCCCGACATGCCCTCCCAGCAATTCCCGATCCCCTTCACACCAGACCCTGAAGGCTCGGGCTGCTACACTACATTTAACTATAGTTTTACTATAAAGGTCAGCTTTCTAAAAATAATAAATACATAAATAGGTCAAATTATCTTTGTCTAATAAAACCCTTCAGTTTTAATATACTTGCTTTGTTGTTGGGATTTGTATGTTTGTTGTTTCTCAACCGGTAAACAAAAATAAATATTTGGGCGCGGAAAAGTTTGGGCGTGATTACCCTTAACCTTTTGTAGAATTCTAGTGTTACTACGGCAAATAGGACAGATTTATTAAAATAAAGTTAATTTACCTAATTAAAAATAGGCTTATATTTCTGATAATGGTGTTGGAACAATGTGGAGTTTCGGGCCTATACATTTCTTACCAAATCCCTGGCAATTTATACTTGTTTCTATTAACAATTTTATGATGAGAGTTACTTCAATGAACGTCTCTACATTATTTATTTATCGTTATTTTACTGTTGTACGGTAAACCTTACGGCAATCCTTCAAAATAAAACATTCTTTATAGCCAAGTTGATCTTAAATTTAAACACCAATTATTATTAATTTTTGGCTTGATAATTCCAATATTTATATTATTTATTTTTGCCTATATTTCAAACACAACGACACCAGAAAATGAATATTTAACGAATCTTGAGTTGGCAAATAAATTAGAATTGGATAATTATACTATTGAACATTATGTTGTTGGACTTAGAGCAAGAGTAAGTTAAGCACTTGGCAAGATTTTAAATCAAAAACCCCTTAGTACAAGCAGTGTCTTTCCAGGGCCGTAACAAAGACCGATAATTTCCCAGCTCAGTTTGGGATTTCTAAATAATTTAATAGAACCAATAACCCTATTCTGGAGCGACGATATGATAAATCAATTCAGATGACAGTTTTTTTTAATTTTACAAAATTTTTTATAACATTTAAGACTAACGACCTTTCAATTTTTACTTCAAATTACGCTTCAGCATTAACAATAATTAATTATATAATAATTATTTTTTGTGGTATAAGTATTCAAATACATGTTTATCGTTATTGTAAAGGAGTAGAAATGACCAAATTACGTAATATGAATAAACAAATGAGTATTGTTTTGGGGGCGCAGGTAAATAATTGTGGCAAGGTGTTATTTTGGACGCCTACTTTTTAATAAATATACATATAATTAAAAAGTTTTAAAAGTTAAACAGTCAGAAATTTGAGATAAGGCTATGCCATAGACGTAATGGCCTTTCAAAGTTAAAAAATATTAGCCTAATGTTAAAAAAGGAATAATAATTGGTTTTTGACGTGACATCAAGGGATTTAAGAGTTGTAGATTTGAAAAGATAGAAGGATATCGGGAGTTTACAGGGATTAATATTGAGGCATATCTGTGATATCAAGGAATTTATTAGGTTACAGAGCAGGGGATTTGGAGAGAATACAGGAGGTTTAAGAATGATATCATGTTTTGTACTCTTCTCTTAAACTTGATGAGTCACTGTAATTTTGGTGTCTTTCGACTCAGCTCGACGAGCTCTTTCGAATGAGCTATCATTTGCATAAACTTTTTTTTACTCCAAAAAATCACCCTCATGGTTTTTCAATATTCCGGGGTCTGTATCTCGATCCAATCATGTCGGATTTCATCAATTTTGGTGTCATTCGATGCATCTCGATGAGTTCTACCTGCATATGAAAGACTGACCATTTTGTACAATGTCCGACAATGTCCGGGGTCAAATTCCGAATTCGGGTCCGGGATTCGACTTTTTCAAAATCCGAGTTCAGATTCGTAATCAGCATATTTTTTTACACTAGTAAAATCCTTTTTCTTATTTTTAAACTTTTTTCGAAGAAACCCCAATTCTCCGGGATTGCCAAATTTTGTATAAAAAATGTAATTTGAATAAAATCCTTAAAAATAAATTTTTGGATATATGTAGTGTAGTGTACTTTCGAATTCGAATTTTCGAATTCCGGTAATTCAAATTACAACTTCTCCTTTCTTTTTAAATTAGTATGTGAAATCCTGATTTGGACCATATGTACCAAATGGCTTGTATGATCACAAATGCTGGTAACACAAAGCAATGGGATCACTTAAAGGCAATAATTGGCCAATTTACGATAAAATCGAATAATTGTGATAATAGATCTGTTTTTTAAAAATTAAGATGTTTCGTTTCGTAAAATTTTGGGTGTTGCGTTGGGGATAAAGCGGTTTGGGATGGATATCGAGGGATTCTAGGATTAAGAGAGATATAAACGACCTAACTATATTACTTCATCTCTTAATCTCCACATATCCCCTTGTATCCAGCTTAATCCTTACATTCCTTAGATCACCCTTAATCCCCCCACACCCCACACCCATCTTAATCCTCTGACATCATCTCCATATCCTAATATCACCGATATACTCAAAAATACACCGATTTATATGGTATTCCAAAATTTTTTTAAAAATTTGATATTTGATTAAATATTTAACTTTGCTGATCAAATTTTTTCAAATATCAAATATTTGATCAAATAATTTGAGAATTATTTGATCAAATACATATTTGATAAACTCTAAATGCCACATTTTTACCCCCTATTTGAGAGGCCATGCCCTCTTTTGACGATTTGGAAATGGCCACCATGATGTGAATTTCTAATTTTTATATTTGCTTAACTGTTTAAAAACTCAGACATTTTTCATAAGACACCTCTCGTGCAGTAATGTGGATTTATTTGAGGAAAGTGCATCTAAATAAAATTTTTATTTTCAAATCTAATATTTAACGGGACTGAGCCGTTTTGGCGCGGGGCTTATAAAATAGTGAATTTCTTATCTAGAAAGAGAAATTTTGCAATAATGACTCTAATATAGTATTATATAGTATCTCCAAAAAATTAGAATTTTCAAGCAAAAATTTTAGAGACTGGCCAAAGATATTGATTTTCAGAAAAACGCCTAATTTATCGAGGTTTATCGACTTTAACTTCAGAAATATTTGCTGGAAAACCCTGAAATTTCTGGAGGAAGTAGTCAGGAATTAGTAAGAAATTTGAGAAAAATTTTATGAATTTAGGTTTCGCCTAATAAGTGTCAGTAGTGAGTTTCGCGCCTAAACGCCCCCAACCCATATTTAACTCGAATTTTTTTATATAAAATTTAAAATTTCTTCATATTAAAATAAATTGTTTATTTAGCTTATAATATCATAAAAAGTTTTATTATAAAAGCTCTATTACTTTAAACAAATTTTAATTGCTTTTCTTCATTTATATCCAATTCCCAATTTTTAAATAACCATTCATAATATTTTATCCTCTAAAATTATGATTAAATTATTTTTAATTCACATTGCTTTATTTATTATTAATTTAATAATAATGGGAAATACAGGAGGGGTTTTGGCACAACTTCCTCCTGCTCCTCCTAGCAAATGAAATAGAAAGATAAGGGTATTACTTTATTACTTTAAATCCCCTTTATTTTCCGATTCAATTACTAAGCCCTGATACCCGTGATATCCCGTCCAATGGTATACCTCTTTTTCGAATGGGAGGGATTTTGAATGGCTTAGTATTCAGGGTGTGTCAATTTTACTGTTAAAAATCTTAGAGTTGATTCGTATAAAAATTTTCTGAACTCTTATTTTAGTCACATGCAATAACTTACAAAAAAATTATAATAAACCTGCTAATTATTTTCACTTTTAGAAACGTAAAAGAAAAAAAAAAGAATGACAAAAAAGTGTTGAGGTATCTAAAGTTTACTACAAAGAATACAATTCCTATTGAATTATTTAAAATAATTTTAAAAATTATTTTGATTAAAACTTGTTAACTTCCCTATTTATTGTAAAAGTATAAATCTTTATTTAATGTTTAGTTTTTTAAAAATCTTTTAAATAAACATTGAGTGCGCCTTGCACCGTGGAATTCAAGTAATAATAGCCGATAATTGTATGGCCTTACGCCTTAAGCGTGGGTTAAACGAACATAAGGAGAAAAAAACATTAGTCGTTGCTCCGGTAGCTCTTTGGTAGAGACCTGCATTTTCATGAGCTAGGCATAGAAGGCATCAGGGAACGCGCCGACAGAAAATCAAATTCCCGAATTTCGGGAATCGTGAATTCCCGTAAATTTCGTATTCACGATTTTCGTGAATCGGGGGAATTCACGATCGTCGGGAATTCACGATTTTCGGGAATTTTGCTTTTCTTGGGGGGATTAGAAGTAATTACGAGGGGTTAGATATACTGAGTTCTTAATTAATTAATGGATATTTAAGCGATTAACAAATTTAGCATTAAACAAATTTATTCATTTGTTTTTTTAGTGTGCTCAATTTTAATTCTTTTTGCCTCGAAAATCATTTTAAATTTAAAATATTCCTTC